AAAAAAAAAAAAAATAAAGTCACATTGAAGGAATACAACAATTCTTGTGAAAGTTTTTCTTAGCCCCAAGGAGTTACAATTCTTTAGGAAAGATATATTTTAACCTTCAACTTACTATCAAAGACCTTTGGATATAATGTTTTTGAAATTCTCTTTCGAACAGTTCTAACTATTTGTAAGCATTGCTATCTCATAGCTTCTTCAATCATCTTCAAAATACGTTAAACTCAGACACTATAATTACTAGAACGGGTGCATTGGATCCATTTTATAAATCTTTATAAATCTAAAATAATCTAAATACAGTATCTTTTGTGATTCCCCACCTATCATTTTGAAATAGTTTCCTATTTCATTATTGTAGGAATTAATCATTACTCAATTCCCAGCAATACCAAAAAGACTAAAATAATAAGAAAACCAAGTAACAGAATCGCCTACAAGGATGAGGCAAAAGCACAAATTGTCAGTAACAGCATCCCCAGCTTTCTTATTGTGTTGCCCCCAAAAAGCATGTTAACCTTTCAAGGAAGTAAAAGAGTCTGGAGGCAACATCTTCATTCATAGTACGCCCCCCCATACTATTACTATTTGTAAGTAAGCTCTATGCCCCAAGTGGGGCTTGAATTCGTGACCCCGAGATCAAGAGTTGCATGCTCTACCGACTGAGCCAGCCAGGTGCCCCTGCTTTGCTTTGCAAGTATTAAACAAACCAAAAGATAAAAGCAAACAGACAGTGGCACTGTACATTCTAATAATTATGATGGTAAAACTTATTGGGTAAGTAACATTTCAGACTATGGGTATGAAGAGGACCACATCCTAGATGAATTTTCTCAAATTTGAGATTCATGTGTGAACGGTGTATCTCTAACAAAAAAAGAAGTATAATTTTCTCATTAAAAAGGAACACCACCACCCAATTATTTTGTAACAAGAATCAGGACTGGGGTGCCTGGATGGCTCAGTCAGTTAAGCACTGACTTCAGCTCAGGTCATGATCTCAGGATTTGTGAGTTCGAGTCCCACATCAGGCTGTGGGCTGACAGCTCAGAGCCTGGAGCCTGCTTCGGATTCTGTGTCTCCCTCCCTCTCTGTTCCTCCCCTGCTCATGCTCTCTCTCAAAAATAAATATTAACAAAAAACAAACAAACAAAAAGAACCAGGACTATGTCATTTCCCTAAAATGACACATGACAGGAATCCTTCAGGTTTTATGATGCTGTATGCAGGTATATGATGACTGCAGAAATAGATATTTTAGGAACAAAAAACCTCTTACAGTGACCATTCTAATTGGTGTTTACATATCTAAAACTAAAAATGCCTTCAATTAGGAAACAAAAGATGGCTATCCTCTTCCAAATGGTTTCGTTAAGTATTACATTTATGAATGTTGCAAATGTTAAGAACCAGAAGCAATGATAAGCTAGAACCTATCAAAGATGAATCTGAAATATGGCAGCACTATTTATGAGATGAGTATCTTCCAGATTATGGTCTAACAAGTAAACAATTAGTTGCATCCAAAGAATGTTACTCATTTTAGCCTGGACACCTTTAAAACCAAGAAAATAAAGAACAAATTTTGAGTTAGCTATGCTTAAATTCTTAGAAAAATCTCTAATGAAGTTTTCTCCCCTTCCCTTTTTAAATCCTTTTTTAAGTAAGCTATGCACTCAAAGTGGGGCTTGAACAGGGGCGCCTGTGTGGCTCAGTCGGTTAAGCGTCCGACTTGGGCTCAGGTCATGACCTCACGGTTCAAGATTTCAAGCCCCACATCAGGCTCTTGCGCTGACAGCTCGGAGCCTGGAGCCTGCTGTGGATTCTGTGTCTCCCTCTCTCTCTGCCCCTCCCCCACTCCCATTCTGTCTCTCTAAAAAATAAATAAAATATTAAAAAAATAATAATAAAAGTGGGGCTTGAACACAACCCCAAGATTAAGAGTTGCATTCTCTACTGACTAGCCAGCCAGGCACACCCCACCCCCTCCCTTTAACTTCTGTAAATTATTTGCAAAATAAATTTTTAAATATTTATTTTGAGAGAAAGGGCATGCATGCAAGTATGAGAGGGGAAGAGAGCAGAGAGAGAAAGAGAGAATCCCAAGTAGGCCCTATCAGTACAGAGCCCAACGTGGGGCTCTATCCCATGAACCGTGCAATCATGACCTGAGCTGAAATCAAGAATCAAGATGCCTAACCGACTGGGCCACCAGGTGCCCCTGTAAAATAATTTCAAAAAAAATTTATGAAAGGGTCTATTGGATCTACATGGTAAGTGGGACAGGTATTTTTCCTGGTATGCTAAGACAGGTATGTTAAAGACAGTCTTTTTGCTTAAGAGAAACAATCAGTAGGATAAAGTATTAAAACTGTTATCTCTGGGATGCCTGGATAGCTCAGTCGGTTAAGTGCCCGGCTTTAGCTCATGTCATGATCTCACAGTTTGTGGGTTTGAGCCCTGGGTCTGGCTCTGTGCTGACAGCTTAGAGGCTGGAACCTGCTTTGGATTCTGTGTCTCCCTCACTCTTGGCCCCTCCCCCACTCATATGGTCTTTCTCTCTCAAAAATAAACATTAAAAAAAATTTTAAACTCTTGATATCTATAATTTTGAAAAAGGGTAGATCATAATTCTCACAGGGAAATAATCATTATAAATTATAAACTTTTAGATAAAGGTTCGTAAAATATATCAAAAATTAAGGATTGTGATTTAAAGAGTATGACTGCTGCTTTAAAACCACCACCATAACCCACTCATCTGGGGGCTTTTGTTTACCTGACCAGCTGCTGCTGTTTCCACTCTTCGATTCGCTTCTGTGCAGTTGATTCCCGGTCCTCTTCACTGGAACTAGAGTTCTCCTCTTCATCTAACTCACGCTGGATACTCTGCCACTTCTTTACCAAAGACGGCATTTTGGTTTTACTCTTCTTTGCCTAGAACAAAGGGTAAAGGTCAGAAGGAAGAAAATACATAAAATATGGAAGTAAGATCCACACAAGATCAAGGTTCTTCTTACATATAAGGAATAAGTAAACTTTAAAATCAAAAGGACCGGGGCGCCTGGGTGGCGCAGTCGGTTAAGCGTCCGACTTCAGCCAGGTCACGATCTCGCGGTCCGTGAGTTCGAGCCCCGCGTCGGGCTCTGGGCTGATGGCTCAGAGCCTGGAGCCTGTTTCCGATTCTGTGTCTCCCTCTCTCTCTGCCCCTCCCCCGTTCATGCTCTGTCTCTCTCTGTCCCAAAAATAAATAAATGTTGAAAAAAAAAAAAAATTAAAAAAAAAAAAAAATCAAAAGGACAGAAACACAAAAAATAAATACTATTATAAATTCTTGCCCGAAATTTCTACCAACTATAAATCTAATTAATGCTTGGTCAAAATTCTAAAAACTGGAAAAAAAAAAACACCCATAAATGTGTTTTTATAAAATTAGGTCAGAAAAATTTCCTTCAGCCTCATTATTCTATGGAATTCAAAACTGTTGCCCTTATCTCAGAATTACAGTGTTTCCTCTTGCAAATTTTAACTAAATGCAGTGTTCACATTAAGTAAAATAGAGCTGAGAAACAAATGACCAGCTTTCCTGGAAAGAGCAACAAAGTCAATTAACAACAAATATTTACAAAGCAAGATGTATCAAAATATTAATGATAAGAATGGTTCTAAGAGGAGATAGAATAAAATTTTTTTGGCTCATCTTCATTTTCTAATTTTTTTCTATAGTAAGTATTTACTTTCAGAGTAAAAAAAATCTTGTGAAAGTAGCAAAAGTAGGCCTACATATATCCAACACGGTTTGCTCTATCACTATCATCAGGCTTCTGATCAATGGCACCCTAGCAAAGAGGCCTTCCCCGACCAACCTAACTGGAAACAGCACCACCTCCCAAAGACCGCTTTCTATCCTGACACTGCTTGTTTTTTCTCACTGCATTTTAAAGCACCAAACATGTATGCATTTGCTTATCTGTCTCCCCAACCCCATTCCCCCACTTCTTTGGTTTGTATTCTTTTGTATTCCCCCACAAACATTTGATTCACTTCTGCATCCCCAGCTTCTGGGGAGAATGCCTGACAAATAGTATGCCTTAAAAATATACTTGTTGAGGGGCACCTGCATCTGGGTGGCCCACTCAACTCAGTTAAGCATCCGGCTTTGGCTCAGTTCATAATCTCACAGCTCATGAGTTAGAGCCCCCACATCAGGCTCTGCGCTAACAGCTTGGAGTCTTGGAGCCTTCTTCGGATTTTCCATCTCTCTCTGCCCTTCCCCTATTCATTCTTGCACACTCCCTTCTCAAAAATAAATAAGTAAATAAACATTAAAAATAAAAACAAAAAAACCTGATGTTAAAAAAATAAATAAAACCAAAAACCAAATTTGTTGAATCTGTGATTAGTTATGTGAAATTCAAAGGCTCCTGTATCAGACATGGGGGGAAACATGTTTTTTATCCCTATATTTTGAAGAGCTATGTACTTGAAGACCTGACCAGGTTACACTAGAAACACAACAAGCATTTGAGTGGTAGGTGTGATTAACTGCTACTGGGCTCATCTTGGACCAGGTATGGGGGCCCACCCTGTTTTTCCTGCCTGCACTTGAGAGATATTTCTTAATTCCCCAAAATCTGAGAAAGTAAGTTTTAGATTTTCAGTCTTTCTTCTATTACTTTGCTCTCTGCTCAATACCATATTTTGACTATAACGGACAGTTCTTAACGTTCTGGAGAACTGAGTGCTCCATCTGTTGTGTTTACACCTTTAGCCCCACACACCCCCACACTCCAGGCTGTCATTTCACCTGTGGCTCAGCCTCACACACTGCATACACAACCTGCCAACAAGCTCCAAAACAGCCCACCTGGGGTTAGCATGGAACCATACGTGTAAAAAGTAACATGAACTAATAACAGTCATAAGTGGACAGAGGGCTCGGTGAGATATGACCTCTCACTGAACACTGTCAAACATGACTAAAATCCAAAGCTCTAGGTAGTCACTGTTGTTTCCTTTTGACTTCTATGGGTTTTGTGAAAAAAAATTTTATCACAGTTGATTCGTCATGGGAAAATAAGTTGTTTTATAAGTTATTTATTGCCAATCACATCCAAAACCATGGATAAAGAATTATACTGGCTGTTTTTTTCTTTTTTTAAAGTTCATTTATTTTGAGAGAGATAAAGTGCAAGTTAGACAGGGGCAGAAAGAGGGGGAAAGAATTCCAAGCAGGCTCCGCACTATCAGCACAGAGCCCGACACGGGGCTTGAACACAAGAACCATGAAATGATGACTGGAGCCAAACTTGGACACTTAACCAACTGAGCCACCCAAGGGCCCCTGCAATGGCTGTTCCAGCACATTTTTACAGGGGAACAGGCAGTAAGATGAATAAAGATCCAATGGCTAGGACTTGTTTTCTAGCCTTTTTTTTTTTTTTAAGGGCACTTGGTATTTTTAATTTTTTTTTTAACATTTATTTGAGAGAGAGACAGAGCGTGAACAGGGGAGGTACAGAGAGAGGGAGACACAGAATCTGAACCAAGCTCCAGGCTCTAAGCTGTCAGCACAGAGCCCGATGCAGGGCTCGAACCCACAAACCTTGAGATCATGACCTGGGCAGAAGTTTGGTGCTTAACCGACTAAGCCACCCAGGCGCCCCTAGGACACTTGATATTTTTAATAAATGTTTTACTTTATTCTTGAGAGAACACATGCAGGGGAGGAGCAGAGAGAAAGGGGGACAGAGGATCTGAAGCAAGCTCTGCTGTGGAGCTTGGACTCATGAACTGTGAGATCATGACGTGAACCAAAACCAAGAGTCAGACACTTAATCAACTAAGCCATCCAGGCGACCCTAGCTTATTTTCTAGTAAGCTGCACACAAAATTCTTCAGCAACAAGATTGAAAACATGCATTTCAAATATTCTTGAACATCCAAGGAAGTAAGTATATTATTTTATATTCTTTTAAAACGGCCTGTAACAAGAAAGATAAGATTAATGTTGTTTTAATATGAAGTACATAAAAATGACATATTAACAAATTAGAATTCTGGATTTCCTAAAGTATTATTTACAAAACCATTAAAGAATGACCGGCTAAGAAATTACTTACTGCATGAAATCTTTGGAGAATTGGAGAAAGAGTGTCAAGGAAGGCTTCATACAAGAAATGATTCCCCAGCACTGGTTGTTCTAACATTTAATTGTGTAAAGAACAAAAAGTAGTGGGACTGGTAGACAAAGCAAAGATATGGAGGTGGTAAACAGTATGCTGGCTCAGGAGAACCATATATGCTATAGTATAGACCTTGACACTATATTAAAGACAGTGTTCTAATTGTTATCATTGACTTCCATAATATTTACTTCGTTTCCAGATAATTTCTGAAACCAGAATACTAACTTGGACAAGGGGTTTCAAGTGGAATCACATGGCCTATTCTGTGTGAACACATATCTCATTCAGTAAGGTTCCTTTAACCATGGTAAGGCAAATGAATTTGCCCTGCTGATCCCTGGAAAAATGATTCTGGTTCAGGCAGATAAAGTGCCAACACAGAGAAAAAGCTGATGAGAAACTTTGGGTAATCAGGGCATACAAAAGTGGCCACTGAATGTGATGTGACATCAGTAAAATGGAAGACCATGAAGCTCCAGGCCCTGTTTCCCCAAGGAAACATTATGAAAACAAATACAGACTAAAATCGCTTTATGGGAACTCTGGAAACAAGTTGAAGATCTTCTGGAAACAAGTTGAAGATCTGCAGCAAACAAGAGAACACTCAATCAAGAAGCCACACTGAGACACCTGCCTAGCTCAGTAGGTAGAGCATAGGACTCTTGATCTCAGGGTTTTAAGTTTGAGACTCATGTTAAGTCTAAAGAATACATACAAATAAAATCTAAAAAAAAAAAAAGTCACACTCAAAACGGTAGGAGATTTTGTGACATGTTTGCTTGCCTTTGCACCACCCTCTCCTGTGTGGTTGGGATGAAACAGCCCAATTCTCAGTTCCCTACCTGAGGAGGGAAGGAAAAGAGTAAAATATTCTCTCTTCTGTCTGTGGCTGCCTGAAGGACTGGTTTCGGTACATTGACTAACTTGGAGCTCAAGCAGTAATGGCAGCATATTTTGAATCTCAGGTTGGAAGCCCTGAAAGGCAGCGGCAGGTACTGCAGCATTGTGAAAACCACAGGGAAACTGCAGTCTTGTGGATACCTAGGAGCAGAGATTACGGGCAGAAGAATACTAAACAACATATAAAGCTCCTCGGAAAAAAGAAGGTGTAAGACAGGAAGATGAAAATTAGGGGCATCTGGGTGGCTCAGCTGATTGAGCACCCGGCTCTTGGTTTCAACTCAGGTCATGATCTCATGATTTGCAGGTTCGAACTTCACGTCCAGCTCTGTGCTAACAGCAAAGAGCCTGCTTGGAATTCTCTCTCCCCCTCCCCCGCACACAAGTTCTCTCTCTTTCCAAATACATAAACTAAAAAAACAAAATAATAATAATAAATTAAATGTATACAGATGGGGGGCCTCTTGGGTGGCTTAGTTGGTTGAGTGCCTGACTCTTGATTTTGGCTCAAATCATGATCCCAGGGTCATAGAACTGAGTCCTGTGTCAGGCTCCGCACTGAACCTGGGACATGCTTAGGATTCTCTGTCTCCCCCCTACCTCCTCTCTCATGCTTGCACACTCTAAAAAAAAAAAAAAAAAATCTACACAGGGGATACAGATGCCCAGAAAAGGCCCAAAGAGATCTAAACCTTCATGCTGGGCTTCTTAATGAAGGTCTTTCTACAAAGAGAATGCATGTGCAAAGACTGGGAGAGACAGTTGTTTTGCCAAATGCCTAATTTTCAACAAAGAAAAAAAATCACAAAGCACAGATGAAACTGGAAAACATGTCCATTCAAAGGAACAAAATAAATCTCTAGAAACCAACCATAAATACATACTTCAGACTCACTAAAGACCTTAAAACAGTTGTCTTAAATGTATTCAAAGAACTAAAGAAAAATAAAGGCAAAGAACTAAATGAAATCAGGAAAATTACACATGAATGAGATTATCAACAAACAGGTAGATATAAAAAAATGCAAACCAAATAGAAATTCTGAAGCTGAAAAATGTGAACTGAAAAATTCATTAGCTCAACAGCCAACTCTGATAGGCAGAAGAAAGGATCAGCAAAATTGATGGTAGGTCATTTGAAATTATGGAGTCTGCAGAGCAAAAAGAAAAACACTGTGAACCATTGAATTCTACTCCTGAAACCGATATTGCACTGTATATGTTAACTAATTAGAATTTATATAAGAATCTGAAGAAAATACATAAGTGCATTTTCAGAGATTAAAAAAAAGAAAATGAAGCAAAGTGAACAGAATCTAATTTATAATACACCCTTAAGTGGACTAATATATGCATTATGGGAATCCTAGGAATATGGAAAGAAAAGGGCAGAACTTTTATTTTAAGAAATAAAATATTGGGCGCCTGGGTGGCGCAGTCAGTTAAGCGTCCGACTTCAGCCAGGTCACGATCTCGTGGTCCGTGAGTTCGAGCCCCGCGTCAGGCTCTGGGCTGATGGCTCAGAGCCTGGAGCCTGTTTCCGATTCTGTCTCCCTCTCTCTCTGCCCCTCCCCCGTTCATGCTCTGTCTCTCTCTGTCCCAAAAATAAATAAACGTTGAAAAAAAAATTTTTTTTAAAAAGAAATAAAATATTTTAAGCCACAGTGCCTGGGTGGCTCAGTTGGTTAAGTGTCTGACTCTGGATTTCAGCTCAGGTCATGATCTCATGGTTTGTGATATCGACCCTTACACTGGGCTCTTAACTAACAGTGTGGCATCAGCTTGGGATTCTGTCTCTCCCCCTCTCCCACTAGTGTGCATGCTCTCTCTCTCAAAATAAATAAACAAAAAAAAGAAAAAGAATAGCCAAGGGGCATCCAGGTGTCTCAGCTGGTTGAGCATCCAACTCTTGATTTTGGCTCAAATCATGATCCCAGGGTCATGTGGGACTGAGCCCCATGTTGGGTTCTGTGCTGAGCATGGAGCCTGCTTAAGATTCTCTCCCTTTCTCCCTCTGCCCCTCTGCCCCTCTCTCCTGCTTGTCTGCATAATCTATTTCCAAAATAAATTTTTAAAAAATTAAAAAGAAATCATAGCTAAAAACTACTCAAATTTAATGAAGACATGGATATACATACCCAAGAGGTCTAACAGACTCCAAGTAGAATAAGCCCCAAAAGATCACCCTGTGACACATAACTTGTCAGAAACCAAAGAGAATCTTGAAAGCAGCAAAAGAAAAATGACCTGTCATGTACAAAGGTTCCTCAATAAGATTATCAGGATTTCTGGAAGAAACAGTGCAGGCCAAAGGCAGCAGGATGATATATTTAAAGTGATCAAAGAAAAAAAAAAAAAAGTTGAGAATTCTGTACAGGCAACGCTTTCCTTCAAAAATGAAGAAGAAATTAAGATACTCCTAAATAAACAAAAGCTCTGGGGTTCATTATTGCTTGACCTATCCTACAATAAATGCATAAGGGAGTTCTTCAAGTTGAAGTGAAATGATGCTAAATACCTAAGTTGTCATACAAAAAAATAAAGTTCTCTGATAAAGGTAAACACAGGAATATGAAAATCAGTAGGATTGTGATTTTGGTTTGTAACTCTACTTTTTATTCTTCTACAGAATTTAAAAGACAAAAGCATAAAAAGTAATTACAAAGCTATGTTACTGGGCACACAATATGTAGAAATATAATTTATAACACCAATAACATAATGGAGTGGGATGCAGCTATAGAGGAGTGGTTTTTGTCTGCAATAGAGTGTATCAGTTTAAAACTGATTATAACTTAAGCACATTACATATAATACCCATGATTTCATAAAGAAGATGAATATAGGGGCGCCTAGGTGGCTTAGTCAGTTGAGCGTCCAACTTCAGCTCAGGTCATGATCTCACAGCTCGTGAGTTCGAGCCCCACGTCGGGCTCTGTGCTGACAGCTCAGAGCCTGGAGCCTGCTTCGGATTCTGTGTCTCCCCCTCTTTCTGCCCCTAACCCACCCGTATTTTGTCTTTCTCAAAAATAAATACACATTAAAAAAAAAAAAAACACTTTTTAAAAAAATCTTAAAAAAAAAAAGAAAATGAATATAGAACATATGCTAAAGGAAATGACAAGAAAATCAAAGTGTCACTAAAAAAATCAACTAAACACAAAAGGTGGCAGTGAGAGGAGAAATGAGGACAAAAAAATCTTCAGAATACATACAGAAAACAAGTAACAAAATGGCAACAGTAAGTCCTTCCCTGTCAGTAACTACTGATAATAAATTAGTAATTTACTGATGTAAATAAATCTCTCCAATTAAAAGATGTATTCTGGCAGAATGGATTTAAAAAAACAGAACTGAATAGGGAGCCTGAGTGACTCAGTCAGTTAACGGTCTGACTATTGATTTTGGCTCAGGACATGATCTCACAGTTTGTGGATTGAGCCCATGCCTGGCTGTGTGCTGACAGTGGTGGAGTCTGCTTGAGATATTCTCTCCCTCTCTCTCTCTGCCCCATCCGCAAGAGCGCACTCTCCCTCAAAACAAACAAAAAAACAGAATTGAAGTGGTGATGTCTGTAAAACGTTAATTTTCTATCTAAGGATATACACAGATTTAAAGTAAAAGGACAAACAGACTCCATGCAAATAGTAACCAAAAGAAAGCAAGGGTTAACAACATTAATATAAAAGAGACTAAGTAAACAACTGTTACAAAAGATGAAAAAGAACGTTATATAATGCTAAACTGTAAACCAAATAAACGATCACTTATGATAGTATCCAACAGAATAAAGAATAAAATACCTAAGAGTAAATTTAGGAAAGGAAGTAAAAGACTTCTACACTGAAAATTACAAAAAATTGCCAAAAAAAACCCCCAAAAAACCCTGAAGACCTAAATAAATGGAAAGAATCTTGTGTTCACAGACTGAAAAATCCAATATTGTTAAAATGGCAGTATGACCCAAACAATTCAGACATGAAATGCAATCCCTATCAAAACTCCACTGGCTTTTTATGCATAAATAGAAAAGCTGAATAAATTCGTATCAACTTACAAGGGGGCCTAAACAGTCAATATTGAAAATTACATACAAAGTTGGAGAACTCATACTTCTACATGCTACTGAATTATATACTTTAAAATGTTGGTTTTTACATGAATATCACTTCAATAATAAAAATTTTAAAATAAAAACTTGGGAGAGATTTACTGTACCTTATCTTTCTTTCCTTTTTTTGTCTTCTCAGATGGTGGCATTTTGGGAGCTGGCGGTGGTGGTGGTGGTGGTGGCGGAGGAGGAGGAGGTGGTGGTTCAATAATGGCAGTGGTAGGCACAGCACCTCGGGCCTGGACTGGCTGCAATGTGGGAGTCACTGCCATTGGGACAGAACATTCAGCATAGCTCATAATTGCAGGAGCTGTTGCCAGTCCTAGGTAATTTGACTGTAGGGTCATTCCTCTGGCTTGATGACCCATTCCTGTTGCTGGATGGCTAACAGATATTGCCTGGTGTCCAATCCCTGCAGACTGGTGTCCAATCCCTGCTGCCTGATGACCTAACATACAAACCATAAAATAAAACTATTAAGAAGGACACTCTGACAAAGCAAAAACAAAGAAAAGATGGAAAAGGGATTTGGGGGTTAGATCCCCTATAAAATGATGCCAATATACCTTCTCCTCAAAAAATACAGCCACATTTTCTGGCAGCAAAATATTTCTGAATACTTTAGTATTATGGTACTTTTTTCTTTTTAAAAAAAAAAAAAAAGCTCTAAGCCCAACGTGGTGCTTGAACTCATGACCCCATGATCAAGAGTTCCATGTTCTACGGACTTGAGCCAGCCAGGCACTTCAGCATTAAGGTACTTAAATTATCAAAATTACTGATGTCATGTAAGTGCACAGAAAACAATATGGAACATGTCAAATTGTTAACAGTAGTTTTTAGTAACTGAAAGAAAAACATATAAGGAGTTCTTGAAATGAAAAGCCTTTACATGATATCTAAAAGCCTTTTATGACATCTAATTCCAAAAACAAAGATGTAATATGTTCAGGAAAACAGTTTTCAATCACAATGCTTACCTGCAGCTATAGCTGACTGGCTGTAGAGGACTGGAGAACTACCAATGGTAGCTGATCTCTGAACTACTGCATTACTAATTTCTGTGGCTTTTCTTTTTATCGCTTTAGTGGAAGGAGAACTAGAGACGGCAGAATCAACTGAACTCTGAAACAGAAGAGAATCTAGTCAGTGGCTAAAAGCTCTAGTTAAACATCCTCTTCTAATATAAAACATGGTGTCAGTCATGCCCCAGTCCCCAGAAACCCTTCGGAATGCCAAAGAGCATTTCTCACCTGGCTAGTTACAACTGTGGTTTGTGTGGAAGGTTTCAATGGAGTATCCTCCTCTGTTCCTGGGGCAGGAGGCTCTTCACTTCCCTCATCCTCCATCTCTACCTCCTGGATCTCACCATCTTCTACAGGAGGAGGGGGAGGAGGAGGGGGAGGAGGGGACTCTGGGGGTGGAGGTGGGGGTGGTGGCATTTCCAAAGGTAATGGAGGTTGAAGCACAGGCACATTCGACTGAAGGAGAGTCCAGAATGGAGTAAGTGGCATGAGTGATGAAGAAGAAACTTGGCCAGAAAAGGACTCTTTACAAAGAGAACCTATGAAAATAAATAGGAGTCAGGGAAAGGGCAAGACAAAAGCTCCATGGCTTACGTTCACAACAATGTTCAACTGCCTAGTGAGACAACTGGACCTACAGGCATCTATTCTCTACGCTCATACTACTGAAATATTAAGCAATTCAGTTCAAAAATGCTTCCATAGAAAGATAAATTTATGAACCCCACAGTTAGCACCTGCCCTAGCTGTTATATACTAGCGTTGTTCTTTGGGCCCAGATTTATGGATAAATAAATGAAGTACATCACATCAATTCAATGAGAAATTTGGTCATTGAACTTGAAGTTTCTTATGTCAAACATTCACAGTTTCAACATACACAACTAGAAGGGAATGCTCTGGGTCTTTATTTCAAAAAAGAAGAGGGGAGTAAATAATGTACATTTGTGATTCTGATTCCGTGTTATTTTATTTTTTAGTGAGTAGATAACTGATCATGGATGACCCAGAGAAGTACTCATTCAAAACACCTTTTATTAATCTGGGTTACTAAGTTTTAAAAATCCATTTGCAAGGTGGTCTTGTCAACTCTATCATCCCTTTGTGCCTTTGTATGAATTATTTGCTAAACCACAGCAACACAAATCAAGGAAGGTATTTTTTTTTTATTTCTGTGATGAGAAAGGGAAACTTAGAAAAACAAATCTTCAAGGTAAAGGATAACAAAGGCACACACAAAAGAGGTATTTGAAGATGCAGAAGATCTGAAGTTGCTGAAGTCTGAGTTAAGAAATTATAGCTGAAAAGCTGCAGGATCAGCTTTCCTCAAATTCTGCAAAAGCCAGTTAATTACTGTCCTTTCTCTCCTGGGAAAAGTTTTAAAGGTTAGAGAAAATAGGAGGATATACTTACTTGTAGCCTTCCCCATCCCTCTTTATCGTCAATAGGGAAGTTTCACAATATATGGGACTATTAGATATATATCCCAGGAATGCTGAAGGGAATTTTCTCCCTAAAAATCATAGAATTTAGGAGTAGAAGAGACATGAGAAATCATCTAGTTCAACTCTCTGATTTCAAAGGTAATGAAACCCAGGAGGGAAATGACTTGCCCAAGATCATACAGCTCTCAATGACTAGGTCTGACTCCTAGTCTAAGTGCTATTTTACAAAGAAGTCTTGGTGAAATACCAGGGATCTAACAGATTTAGAAATCACAGTTAAATAAATCTCAGTTTGGGGCACCTGGGTGGCTCAGTCGGTTAAGTGTCCCACTTCGGCTCAGGTCATGAACTCATGGCTTGTGGGTTCAAGCCCCATATCAGGCTCTGTGCTGACAGCCCAGAGCCTAGAGCTTACTAAGGATCTGTGTCTCCCTCTCTCTCTGCCCCTCCCTCCCCCGCTCATGCTCTGTCTCAAAAATAAACATTAAGAAAAAAAAATTTTTTTAATAGTACAAAAAATAAATCTCACTTTTCATGGAATAGAGATTCAAATGCAATCACCTGTTAAATTTCATGATCAAAAGTGATGGTATAACCATATACCATAAACAAAAGTCTCTATGACAAGGATAAAACCCTTTATTTACTTGGCTTGAAGATACCACGCTGTCCTCAATAAGATAAAACCTAAGCCATTATGAACCATTTGGCTATAAGGATAGCTTTACTTTTTATGGAGCAGGTAAAAATATTACACAAAAGATTTTAAGAATAGGATTTACAAGGTTACTGTAATTATTCTGAGATGTTGCTTACTTAGCAAAGGAAAGGAGCACTGAAAGAAAAAATTCACCAGAAAACAAGAATGCAGTTTTCCAGCTAATAGACTTCAAAAGTCTCATTAAACTTTTTTATTTGGTCATATCTAATGTGAATTTATACACTGACCTTTAGATGAATAAAGTTTGGGTATGGCCAGGCAGTTTACTATGTTACATAATAACAGAACATAAAAATTACATCAGAACTAAGGTAATAAGTACTGAGAATTAATAATTTATCAAACTTCCTTCTACTAAACCTTCAACTACATTTGGTAGGTAAATGAATAAGCTAAATTTTACATATTCTCGTCTAAAATCATAATGCAACACAGAAATTTATGATGGCAATGTGCTACTATGCAAAGCAACTCAAGGAAATACAGGTTCAAGGTTTAAAAATGGGGTTTACAACCTCCAGCAAAGATAATCAGAATTAATTAAACTGTGTAAATAAGGAGATAAATTTAGCAGCAAACAAGGAGCATTTTTAGTTAATATTTGAATCCCATACTAAGTGTGCTCAAAACATAAAAGCTGTGTCTTAACACTGATAGCTTCCTTTAGCTCAAACACAAAGTTTGGATATTAATAGATATCCTCCTACACGATGCTTCTCTTCATTTCTAAATATAACTCAGTTGGTATATTTTGCCATTTAAGCGAACTTTCAAGTCTGAAATCCAAGGAGAGATTAAAAAACACAGTTTTGGGGGCACCCGGGTGGCTTAGTTGATTAAGTGGCCAACTTTGGCGCAGGTCATGATCTCCCTGTTCTTGAGTTGGAGCCCCATGTCAGGCTCTGTGCTGAGCTCAGAGCCTGGAGCCTGCTTTGGATTCTTTGTCCCCTTCTCTCTGTCCCTGTCTCCCCCTCCCTCAAAAAAGAATAAACTTAAAAAAAAATTTTTTTTAGGATGGGACTAGAGTGTATTATGCTAAGTGACATTAGTCAGAGAAAGACAAATATCATGACTTCACACATATGTGGAATTTAAGATACAAAGCAGATGAACATAAGGGAAGCAAAAATATAAAAACAGGGAGGGGAACAAAACATAAGAGACCCTTAAATATAGAGAACAAACTGAGGAGTGCTGGAGGGGTTGTGGTGGGGGGATGGGCTAAATGGGCAAGGGGCATTAAGGAAGACAGTTTTTGGGATGAGCACTGGGTGTTATATGTAAGGGACGAATCAATGGATTCCACTCCTGAAATCATTATTGCACTATATGCTAACTAACTTAACGTAAATTAAAAAAAAATTAAAATTAAAAACATAAAGGTAAACACAGCGTTTATTATATGCTAATAAATTTGAAAGTTACAGGCTTACAATAGTGTGGGGATACAAATTTTGCTCTTCAAGAACCTGTTTTTTTCTATTTCTAGGCAAGCTTCCCTTTACTGTTTTCCTGTATTTCTCCAAAGAGAAAATTTTTGCTTAGTATTCTGAACCAAGAGGCCAGTTTAGCAGTTACTGTATAAATAATAGTTCCATAGACTTTTGAAAAGCAGCTGAATTTAACCAAAGTGACAAAGCCTAATAAGACAGACACAGTAGATATCTTGTAATATCACTCATCTTTAGAGACAGGATGTTAAATTCAAACAATGAACGAAGATTGAAATGAACAGAAGTTTGAAACTTCCTTGCTCCCCACAGTGTAGTAATTTTTCTTATTTAAAACATGATTTTAACCACTACTGGGCTGACAAAGTGAATATACTAAACTTTCTTGACAGGCTTAAACAGCCATCAGTATTGCTCTTAAATCCCAAAAACCTTAGCACAAGATCTGGGTTTTACTTAGATCAAGATTATCAAGTTTTAATGGCTCTCATTAAAGAGGCTTAAGAATAGAAACAGTTTATCAGTGACTTTTTCCTACAGCATAATTGTTTTACTCAGATAGGAATGTCTCAGTCTTCCTTTAACCAGACAGTACCCAACTTTATGTGTCTTCAACAAAGTGAGAAAATAATTCTAAGGTGTTCACAGAACACCTAAGAGTTGGTAATTCTAGAATACTCAGCTTTGTAACATACAAGAAAGGGACATTAGACAGCAGTCAGGAGTGGAATCTCCTATCCAGAACCACCATCAAGCCTTCACTGGACTAACTTCAGTTAACATGATAAAACTAACTTATTAGACAGATCTATCATTACTACCAAAAGAAAAGAATGAGGAAAGTAATCAAAAGAAAATCCCTTTGTGAAAATATTAAGACACCCTGTAACTCAGAAAATATATTTCTGAAATAGTAAGTAGAATAAAACCACCCTTTTGCTTCATGCAAAATTATCACTGCAGCCAAATGTGGCTTTTTGTTTAGTGATCTGATAACTGCCCCTAGGCTATTTTAGAAATTAAAAAATCATCTAACATGATCAGTTTCATTTGGTACATTATTAGAACTTTTTAATTGGGATCAGGGAGCAACAGAATACAAAACATCATTTTTCGTAAGCAGAGGACAAAAGAATTCAGCTGTCCACTCCCTATGTTACCAATAAATTCCATGCCTTTACCTTTAAATGTTTATTACTTTAAAAGCCAAATCACAGACTCCTGTTTCATGTACTGTCATTTTAACAAACAGCTACTAGTTTTTTAGAATGAAAAATCATAGCCTTGACTAGGCTTCACTATTCACTTATTTCTGTCATTCCAAGAATGGTGGATTTAGAGGGGGAAAAATGCATCTTCCAAGATATGGAAATCAAGCCACTCCTCTTTAGAGGAGCTCCTATTAACTAAGGAGCTATGAAAGCCTTTTTAAAAACCTATACAACAAAATAAGGAGTGCCTGTGTGGCTCAGTCGGTTGAGTATCCAACTCTTGATTTTGGTAATGATCCATGGTCATGGGATGGAGCTCTATATCGAGCCCCCTGCTCAGGACAGAGCCTGCTTAAAATGCTCCCTTCCCCTCTGCCCCTCTCCCCCACACTCTCAAAAAATAAACACATAAGTAAAAATAAGTTAATGTATACAACAAAACTAAAGACCTCTAGGAGAACATTTACTGGGTTGAGCCATCCTGATTGTTTTATGCTAGAATATTGTTGGCAATTTCCAATGATTATTTTGCTTCTCTGAAATAATGGTCCTAGTTTCATACCATTTCTTCAGAGTATTTTGATTTACAACAACCATACTTGTAAGAATAGTGGAGTGGAAAAATGAGGCTGCACTATCTACAGGTTAAGTTTTCTACAGAAAGGGAAAACAAATCTATTATCACTCCACAAAGATATCAACAATTCAGCTACTAGTTCCTCAACATTAACATTCCTGTTAGTGGACACACGGCTTTGTGGCATGACAGAGTGGTTATAGGACAATCTTTTTGGGGCGCCTGGGTGGCGCAGTCGGTTAAGCGTCCGACTTCAGCCAGGTCACGATCTCGCGGTCCGTGAGTTCGAGCCCCGCGTCAGGCTCTGGGCTGATGGCTCAGAGCCTGGAGCCTGTTTCCGATTCTGTGTCTCCCTCTCTCTCTGCCCCTCCCCCGTTCATGCTCTGTCTCTCTCAGTCCCAAAAATAAATAAACGTTGAAAAAAATAAAAAAATTAAAAAAAAAAAAAAAGGACAATCTTTTTGTTGTTGTTAGATCTAATTGGGTACATTAAATGATTCCTGAATCAGGAGCATCCTATCTAGAAAGCAGATGGAAGCTCTTATGGGACAATCTTTTAAAAATCAAAATATATTGGCTCATCATTTTATTTTTTAGCAAAGTCTGATATTAATAGTCTGCTGATTTCTAAGCAGTCCCTGCCTTAGTTTTCTTCAGTATTAACTCTTGCATTTTTATGTTAAGTCACTATTTTTTAGCTAGAAATTTACGCTTTGAATTACTTTCTTCTTTTATGGTACCAACTAACACAAATCTTTTTTCTCCAAAAGTATTTCTCTCCAATTAGTATAGGGTAAATTGTCCCACCTGTGGAATTCTCAGAAGATTCTGTAGAATTTGAATCAGTGCCAGTTTTGTCTTTCAAGGTCTGTTTAGGAAGAGTCTCGTCTCTACTTTCTTGTGCTTGGCTTTCTTCCTCTTCCTCCTCACCATCTGGGAACTCCCACTGAGACTCGCCCGATTGTTCGTTTACATAGAAATATCGTCTATGATCCCTAAATTACAAGAAAGAAAACACACGTTTTAAGACCCATTCTCCTACAAAGACACTTCCGTTTGGTCCTGTCCCAGGACAGCAGTCTGCTCTCACAGGGACGAACCTCTTCTTAATGGACTGCTATTCACAAAGGCAACAAAGAGCTTTGACAATTGAGGATGAAGAACCAAGGATAATTCAAAGCTATTTGCACTGCCAGCAGCTCTGTGAATACAGCCCTGAGCCCTCACTCCAACAGATGACTTAGAAAACACCTCTCACATTTTGTTTTGTTTTGTTTTTTGCCAATGTTTAACAGGGTTTCAAGTTTCATTAACGAAGGGACTCAATCTCCTAGAACACTAATTTCCCTTCCAAAGAAGAGAACAACGAAGTTTGCGAAAGGTGACTCTTCCCCTCTTGGACCGTGGAATTCACATTTCATACTCTTGATATCAAACACAGTGAAAGCTAAAGAGAGGGAGAGGATCTGGGAGCTGAAAAATAAAAGAGCAAAGATTTCAAATAACGAAAAAAAAAATCAAGAAAAGCCAAATATAAAAAGAAATGTTTTCATCTGACCTGCTGGCAGAAGATAGTAATCTTGTTCTTCATTCACATCTTCTGGCACGAAGCTTTCCTTAACTTCACCGAGGTTAATCAGGAGTAGTTGCTTCCAGAGGTCCTGTAAAGCGCACAGAGCTCTCGCATGCGCTTAACCCCCAAGCCCGCCCTACTCCGTGCAACAACACTCTGGAGAGTAAAAACCAGCTTTGTCCATCTTGGGAAAAAATCCGTTACATGGAACACTTTAAACATTGCTTTTTGTTTCTCCGTGTGGCTGGCCCAAACTGTAAGTGCTTGCGGTGCTCTGCCTGCCCAGCACCGCTAACTGCAGCTGCTCTCAGTCTCCGGACAGGCTGTCATGTCGTCAGGTGGTGGTGATCACAAATCATGTCTGAGATGTCAAAGGTGAAAGGTGAAAAGGGGAGAAGAGTGCGTACCTGTCCCAGTGGCAGGACCAGCCTTTAGGAGTGGCGTTTATTTCATACTGTTTTAGTTGTTCTGCTGCATCCTGAAGTTTTCGTTTAAGGTAGTTCCCATTAAGAGCCCCTTCCCTCCAGTCTGCAATCCGAGTCTAGAATCAACAAACAGAGAAATAAGTTAAAAGGCTTACCGTTACATGAGAAGACAGAAATAAAAAGGGACAGGTCTTCTGGTCCACAACTGTATTGCTATACTCTCACAAAAGGAAAGTAGACCCAAAACACACAGAAATACTGTCTTAATTTCATATAAAATATTGTTTGCTCTACACAGTTCTGAAAAACAAGATTGGACCTTAGTACATTTTTATACTGCCAGCTCTCCAGTATCTGTGAAAACGAGTAGCAGTTTTGTTTTCCTCCTTTGGACTATATTAATTCCCTAGCAATTTTAGTTTTTGGTAGAGAGTTCATTTGGTTCAGTAATCAAAAGCAAAGGTTCAATACTTACGGAGATATGCTTCCTACAGGAGTTCCTTACTGAATCCTGCTCTACCATGTTGTAAACTATTCAGGTTACAAAAGGACTCCGAACTTTTATTTTTAGTTTGATGTAAATCTGTTATTAGGCTCATTGTGTTATTTAATGCATTCATTCATTCATTTATTTATTTATTTTACATCCAAGTTAGTTAGCATATAGTGCAATAATGATTTCAGGAGTAAAATCCAGTGGTTCATCCCTTACATGTAACACCCAGTGCTCATCCCAACAAATGTCTTCCTTAATGCCCCTTGCCCATTTATAGCCCATCCCCCCACCCACAACCCCTTCAGCAACCCTGTTTGTTCTCTATATTTAAGGGTCTCTTATGTTTTGTCCCTGTCTCCATTTTTATATTATTTTTGTTTCCCTTCCTGTATGTTCACCTGCTTTGTATCTTAAATTCCACATATGCGTGAAGTCATATATTTGTCTTTCTCTAATTTCACTTAGCATAATACACTCTAGTTCCATCTGCATTGTTGCAAATGCCAAGATTTCATTGTTTCTGATTGCTAATATTCCATTGTATACAGATACCATATCTTCTTTGTCCATTCATCTGTCAATGGACATTTGGGCTCTTTCCATAATCTGGCTAGTGTTAACAGTGCTACCATAAACATTGGGGCACATGTGCCCCTTTGAATCAGCATTTTTGTATAAAAAAATATTTTTTAAACATAAAATAGAATATATGCCTACTGAAGGTGGTATCCCCACACATAAAATCTTAGTATTTATCTTCATAGTTACGTTTTGCTTTAGCTAATACACAGTTTTGTTTCCTGGGTTAGTCGTTCAAATTTGCACCAATGTTAAAAATTTTAATTTAGGATTAGAAAAGTAAGATAAATGCCTTACACATAGAGCATTTTACTCAAAGACCAACTATACATAAATGCCTAAATTACCTCAGTCTGTAAGAGCAGCACATGAAAGTTGGAGATGGACTGTCTATTAATGCCTAGGAATTCAAATTTACTTGTCAGGGTATTTGCCAGTTCTCCAATCTGAAACTGTAATGTAGGAAAAGAAAGAGAAAAATAAAATTGAATCAGCAATATTTTTCTGTATTATGTAAACTATTTTGTTCTTAAACATACTTAAAAAAAGGGTCTGCCTAGAAACAGCCCTTCTTAAATAGTTGCATCTGAACAGTCATGAAAATAACTCTAGTTATTTCTAGTTACGTAGAAAAATTTCTAGTTACGTAGAAAACTCTTAATTTACGTTAAAATACTTCACATAACAAGTGATAAATAAGGACAAGCCTAGAGAAATTGAATGTATACTTTGAGACAATATAGAATTCAACAGGTGAAAACAGACGCTAAATGATGTAACTCCCAATAGTGTCCAAACTATCATTTAATTATTACTTAGTGCTTTTATCAGCTACGCACTGAACAAAATTAATTCTCCCAGTCCCTTTCACATGGTTGTATGCTAGCCAGTGACTGGATAAACTCTTTCGAGTCAAAAGAATGTACTATGTGATTTTTCCAACAGAACATCCTTAAATAGCCACATATTTATATGGTCCAATTCTCTTGACATTAAGCTAGAAATAAAATTGGAACCGAGTTAGCCTTTATGTAAAGAGAAGTACACGCAGAAATTAAATTTGTGACTTTTTGTCTCTTCAGTACTTCCAAACTACAGGAGCCTACATTGACACACTATTATTGCTTTCCAATGAAGGCTTGAATTTTATTTATTCATATTTTAATGTTTATTTATTTATGAGAGAGAGAAGGAGAGAACATGGGCACGTGCGCATGGGTGGGGCAAAGAGAGGGAGACAGAGAATCTGAAGTGGCCTCTGTGCTTACAGCAGAAGACCTGATGTGGGGTTGAAACCCATAAACCATCAGATCATGACCTAAGCAGAAGTCGAACACTTACCCAACTGAGCCACCTAGTTGCCCCTGAAGGCATAACTTTTATTTTTTTTTTTTAATGTTTGTTTATTTTTGAGACAGAGAGAGACAGAGCGCGAGTGGGGGAGGGGCAGAGACAGAGGGAGACACAGAATCCCTAACAGGCTCCAGGCTCTGAGCTGTCAGCACAGAGCCCGATGTGGGGCTCGAACCCACGAACCGTGAGATCATGACCTGAGCCAAAGTCGGATGCTTAACCGACTGAGCCCCCAGGCGCCCCAGAAGGCATAACTTTTAAAAGAAAGCAATTAAAGCATTTAGAATTTATTTTTAGGTAATTTCTCTACATCAAGTCAGTCTTCTAATTCAGTGTTACAGCCTGAAATATGACCTTTTCACATAACTAAATGACTTATATTTGGAGATAGCAAAGATTACTTTCAGTACTTGCTAACAAAGAATGTAGTTTAACGGTTGCCCAATTTAAAAATATTTGTCCGGGTGCCTGGGTGATTCAATCAGTTAAGCATCCAATTCCTGACTTCTGTTCAGGTCATGATCTCACAGTTTGTGGGATCAACTCCTGCCTTGGGCTCTGCCCTGACAGTGTGCAGCCTGCTTGGGATTCTCTCTCCCTCTGTGCCCCTCCCCTGCTCATGCACACACTCATTCTCAAAAGAAAAACAAACTTTAAAAATATCTATTTGTCAGGGCGCCTGAGTGGCTCAGTTGGTTAAGCCTCCAACTTTGGCTCAGGTCATGATCTCATGGTCCATGAGTTTGAACCCTGTATCAGGCTCTCTGCTGTCAGCACAGAACCCACTTCGGATCCTCTGTCCCCCCTCTCTACCTCTCCTCTTCTTGGATGCTCTCTCGCTCTCAAAAATAAACATTAAAAATATTTTTTTAAAAATTTATCAAGCCATGTTAAATACATACTTTCAAATCTTGTTCTTCTTCTTTAGGTGCTGTTGGTACTTTTATCTTCTCTGGAGATTCTTCGACTTCCATCTCTTTGTCTGAATTTTCATCTATTTTTTCTGAAGTGTCAGCACCAATTACTACAAAAGAAAACATGTAAAATTAATTCAAAAGGAATACTAATATAGTACATCACGTAACTTTTCTTACTCCTATAGCAGCGATATCTGAAAAAAAATTTTAGTTCTTTTTCCTTTGCCTGTTTTCTTTATTAAATAAACCGTAATGACTTATCTACCTGTCTTTAAAAAGCCAAAAAACCTTATCCTCTATAATCCCCTTTCTTAAAATGTCTATAATTAACAATCTGTTTTACCACATTACCCTGTAGTCTTCAGTTTCCCTTTCACATTCATCTATTTATCTTTTCTAATCTATTCCAGGATACCATTACTTCAATTACTTATAAAAGCTAGGTTATCAAACCTGGGATACATAAAGGTTCTTCACAATATGAGTTTTGAAAAAAAGGGTTTCACTATCACAGCAGCATTAATTTTAAACTACCTGATAAAACTCCTTTCTAAACCGGTTAAGACCTGTAGACAATCTGTATCGGACCAAACTACTCTTCTGCTTGGTGATGTCTCTTTGGGAAACTTCCAAAGAGAACAGGTTTACCATCAACTTAAATGGAGTAAAAGACATGAACTGTTATGTTTGCTTACCACCTCTCTGTTATGTTTGCTTACCACCTAGATGTGTGCTTATCAAACTAATCCGCACATACAATATAAATCATTCTGTCATGAGGCTATCAAGTGATTTAAGAAATAACTAAATTTAAATACTTTTTCTTGACTCTGGTTAATCTTTGATGTAAAGAATAATGTGACTTTTAACATCACTTTCAATAACTTTTATTGGCCTAAGGTTTTTATTAAGTACTTAATCTTACATCTAATGGCCTTGCCCTTATTAATATTCCTTCTGCGTTTTCAAATTGAAACCGGGGTGCCTGAGTGGCTCAGTCGGTTGGGCGTCTGACTTCAGCTCAGGTCATGATCTCACAGTTTGTGCGTTTGAGCCCCGCGGCGGGCTCTGTGCTGACAGCTCAGAGCCTGGAGCCTACTTCCTATTCTGTGTCTCCTTCTTTCCCTGCCCCTCCCCCATTTGTGCTCTATCAAAAATAAATGTAAAAATAAAAAAAAAATTGTTTGAGACCAAATCTCTCCCCCCAACTTACCAGTTTGTAATTCATTTGTATATTAGACATCTTACATTTGCTGGCAGGTAAAAGACTTTAACAATTTAAAGCACTACTAGTGCTCTAAGACTTTTGCCTATTTCCAAGGGCAATTAGATAGGATCTATATACCCCTGGACCTAATAATATTATATCGCTAGGAATCCATACTATAATGACACTAAAATCTGCATAAAGATATATATATACCAAGATGTTTATTACAACATTGTTAAAGATATATATATACCAAGATGTTTATTACAACATTGTTTTTATTGTGAAGTACTGTATGTACATAATAAATATAAAGAATGAAATGAGCACTCAAGAAACCACAACCCAGCTTAGTGGAAAACTATCACAGGCACTTCTAAAGTTCACAGTGCCTCTGCCATCACATCCACATCAGATGTGATCTCTACCCTTGTGGTTTAAGTGCCTTCCTCTAGTTCCATCATGGAAAGATCTTTAAGCACAATATTTTTTACGATTTTCCAACTTACACACAGAGAATACAAACATATATGTTCTCCTGTAGCTTTTTAAATTCAACACTATTGTTTCTTAGATTCATTTTAATGCATATTAACTGTAGACCATTGACCTTTTTTCACGGTTGCTTAGTATTCAATTGCAAGAACACACTACTATTTATCCATTCTACCCTGGATGGACACTTGAATGGCTTGCTGGTATTACCTAATAATACAACTGCAGTATTACTTTTAAAAGTGAAACATGGACACAACTCAAATGTCCACTGATGAAGAAGAGTTAAATAAAAATATCTTTTGTACTTGGTGGTTAAAAACAGTAATTTTACACTTTAAGTATGTTTAACAATCCACATGGTTAATCTCACCTATGGCAAAAATTACACATGCACATGTACAGATTACACATATACACACAACCACAAATGAATACAGCGGAAAAGGTCTAGAAAGATATAGGTAAAGGACAGAGAAAACGGACTTCAGAGGTAAGGAATGCAAATCGGGAAAAGATGAAGGGGGACTTTAAGATTTTCACTTCATATTCTTCTATATGATTGAAAAAAATCTCAAACAAGGATGTCTGCATTTACTTATTACTGTGTTTTTGTTTATTTATCGTATTTTGACCATAACCCATAAAAGTATCTTTTGTTTAAGTACACCAAACTAAGGTCTAGTGCTCAAATCTTACTGCTAATTTTCCACTAAAGAATCAGGGTCAAATGGAGATTAAGATATTTGTTCTATTAACAGATTGGAAAGATGCAGCAGGGTCTCTACTACATTACCCTGAATAGAGATAAGTTGGGTCCTCATGAAAAGACTAATCTATCTAAACAAAAAACCAGAGAGAGCGCAGAGAGGAGGCTGGGCTTGGCAGAGGTAGTCCTTGCCTGCCTTGCTTACAAACAGAAACAGTGAGCTAATGAGAGCTCACGGACTTAATACAGATAAGGCAGTGGACACCTGGGTGGCTCAGTGGGTTAAGCGTCCAACTTCAGCTCAGGTCATGATCTTGCAGTTCATGAGTTCGAGCCCCACGTTGGGCTCTGTGCTAACAGCTCAGAGCCTGGAGCCTGCTTCAGATTCTGTGTCTCCCTCTCTTTGTCCCTCCCTTGCTTGTCCTACTCTCTCTCTCTCAAAAATAAATGAATAAAATGTTTAAAAAAAATACAGATAAGGCAGTTACCGTACCAAGATTTTTAAAAAGGGAGTGAATCTTGCTTGTCTGTTTTTGAGGGAGAGGTAGTCCCCAATCAGTAGTGAATCCCCAACCAAAGCTCCTGGAAAGGGAGCTTCCTTTTCACTTCTCTACTTTTCACAGAGCAGTTAAAGAAGTGAAAGGAAGCTCCCTTTCCAGCACTTCCATAAAAGGATGCAAGTGCTACCTCCTTCTTGCTGAAAAGGGAACAAAACACAAAACAAAACAAGGCTAAGGATTTCCCCTTTGTATCTTTCAACTCTGCAAATTTAACGTAAAACACGAATTACCAGTTTCCCCATTTTCTGGAGTCTCTCGTCCAGTTTTGCTAGAACTCCGGCTGGTAGATTCTGGACTGGTAGCTCGAACAAACATCTTCCATTTCCCCCTTTTAGACATAAGTCTACGCATTCCATCTTGAGACGCTGGCTGGCTGATGTCAGAACATGGACTAGACCCTGACACACTACCATCTCCTTCCTCCAAGGCTCGTAACTCTGCCTACAATGAACGTGACAACAAAGTTAGAGTGTTATTACCTGTTGGTCAACACTTAAGCATCTGTGAGACCAAGAATGATAACTGTGCATTATCAGAATTAAAATCCTTTGAGGACAGAAGTATTTAATACATTTTTTCCATCAGCGCCAAGCATTATGCTTGTTACTCAGCAAACACTTATTCATGATTGTAGTTAACAAATACCAATTTGAAAGGGAAAAGGTTCTAGAGATTCACTGAGACAAAGTTTCTAGTACATGAACACAATAGATAGAGTCTAACGTAGCTTGTCCCTGATAGCTTTAAATTTTTCAAAAGTGGAAAAGCTTAAAGGAGATATTGCTGTTATAACACCTGTTACATTTTTGATTCATACTCCAAACAGCATACAAAACTGTTTCAAGAAAAATCAGGGCAGGGGCACCTGGGTGGTTCGGTCGGTTAAGTGTCTGACTCTTGGTTTTGGCTCAGATCATGATCTCGTGGTTGTGGGATCAAGACCCGTGTGGGGGTCCATGATGAGCACTGTATGGAGCCTGCTTGGGATTCTCTCCCTCTCCTTCTTTCTGCCTCTACCTGGCTCACTCACACTCTCTCAAAAATAAACATTAAAAAAAAAAGAAAAAGAAAAAGAAAAATCAGGGCAGAAAACTGTAAAAATCAACTTCTCAATCAAGAAAATTTCCTGAGGACCATCTTTTTTGAAAGGAAGCACATGAAATTATGAGTTTCTCTTAATCTATTATCTTACAAGACCCATTTAACTATTTAAATAACGCCATAGGTGATCACTGGAAGTCAACCTGTACTTTAATTTAAAAACCAAGTTATCACTAAAAATCTACTATGCTCATTTGTTAAGAGTCTAAATCAAAGATAGTCATTCCTCACTGTATCTAGCTATCATTAAATCAGAGCAATGTCAGTCTTTATTAGTCAACTATCAAAAGCATCATCAGGAACCAAAAGAACTATAACTCGATAGTTAAGGTTTTTATTGCATCAGCTTAAACATATGTAGACAAAAGGTTGAGAAAAACAAAATCCCGGTAATGGCTATAAACAGAGCACAATGACCCCAGAGTGTGATAGTAATAGGGGAAAAAATGTACTTAACAAAAACTTACTTTTTTTCTTTCCAAAACCAGCTCCAATTCAAGGGTATCTTGTTCCTCTTCCTCTTCACTTTCTCCAGATTGAACAACACTGCAAAGATCCTCCTGAGAAGGATCTTCCATGTTGTCTAGTGTAATTTCCTGTGGCTTTATTATTGTTGCTGCTTCTTCTGCTGTCGTACTGGTTTCTTTCACTTCGGAAATGGGCTCTGATTCTTTACAAATTACTTTTCTTCTCCATCTCTCTTCTTCCTCTTTTATTCCCTCAGGCAGCAAAGGAGCAAGCAGTGATGCTGCCACCCCTTTCTTCTCCTCCTCACTATTTGAGAGAGCCTGAATTCCTTCATTTACTTCCTATAAATAAAATAATCTCATTTATTTTTCAAATGAAAAAATAAAAAAACTTTACCTGAATAAATATAACACACGCAATTGTTCATGCTAAAAATGACTGTTTTTCAATCACTGCATATTTTTTATATAATTTATTGTCAAACTGGTTTCCATACAACACCCAGCGCTCATCCCAACAGGTGTACTCCTCAGTGCCCATCACCCACTTTCCCCTCACCACCTCCCCATCAACCCTGTTTGTTCTCAGTATTTAAGAGTCTCTTACGGTTTGCCTCCTTCCCTCTCTGTAACTTTTTCCCCCCTTCCCCTCCCCCCATGGTCTCCTGTTTCTCAGGATCCACATGAGTGAAAACACATGGTATGTCTTTCTCTGCCTGACTTATTTCACTTAGCATAATACTCTCCAGTTCCATCCATGTTGCTACAAATGGCCAGATTTCATTCTTTCTCATTGCCAAGTAGTATTCCCTTATATATATAAACCACATCTTCTTTATCCATTTGTCAGTTGATGGACATTTAGGTTCTTTCCATAATTTGGCTATTGTTTAAAGTGCTGCTATAAACATTGGATACAAGTGCCCCTATGCATCAGCACTCCTGTATCCCTTGGGTAAATTCCTAGCAGTGCTATTGCTGGGTCACAGGGTAGATCTATTTTAATTTTTTGAGGAA